GCCTCTGGATCAGGGGGGCAGGGACAGGCTGAGGCGTGAGGGTTTGAAGCTGGAAGAGGGGAGATGGAGATGAGATGTGAGGAAGAAATGTTTTCCTGTGTGGGGGGTGAGGCAGTGGCCCAGGGTGCCCAGAGAAGCTGTGGATGCCCCATCCCTGGAGGGGTTCAAGGCCAGGCTGGATGAGGCTTTGGGCAACCTGGGCTGGTGGGAGGTGTCCCTGCCCATGGCACAGGAGGTAGACTAGATCTTTAAAGTTCCTTCCGACCCAGACTATTCTATGATCCTGCGATTGTATGAAAATTACAAGGTGGGAACTGGGTTTGGGGATGCCAAGGGACTGAGCAGGCTGCCTTTGGGTGAGGTGAGCTCCTGGCATGGAAGCCTGAGAGCAACCAGCTTGGAGGAGCCCTGAGGAAATAAACGAAACATTACACTTTTTCTCTCTGGTTTGGCAGTGATGCTAATCAATTTGCTGAGGGCAATTAGTGTCATTGAATGTTCTCAAACAAAAAGCATTGTCAAATAGTCTGCTGTAGGAATGAATTGCTTGTGGGGAGAAAGAGCCTTTGGAGGTTGGACCCTTGAGGAGAGGAAAGGCTTTGCTGCAGGTGCTGTGCCGCGGCACTGGATGACATGCGTTCTGTTTGAAATCTCAGGCTTGCCGGATGAGAAGGGGCGATTTCAGATTCTTCACATCCACACGGTGCGGATGCGGGAACACCAGCTGCTGGCGGAGGACGTGGACATTGCAGAACTGGCGGTTGAGACGAAAAACTTCAGCGGTGCTGAATTAGAAGGTTTAGTTCGAGCTGCTCAGTCTACCGCGATGAACAGACACATTAAGGTCAGTCCTGTTGGCTCTCACTGGGGCAAAAAAAAGGGAAAATTATATTTGGAGTCTTTTCTTGTGTGTTGACTTCCAAGTGGGTAATGGCTTCTCAGCACACCTTGGAGATGAAATTTGTGCAGACGCCACCTTTCACTGTGCTTTTACGTGGCTGCAAAGTACCGCTTTCATCTCCTGACCTCCAAGTGGCTCTTGTGTCACTCAGTGGAAACGGAAGATGATTGTCAATGTATTTTGATAAAAACTGAAAGTCTTGAGCTCAGTTGGTGGGTTGGAGCCAGGAGACAAGAGGTGGAAGTGAGAACAGCCGGTCGTATGGGCAGGATCTCTGCTGCAGCCTGGGCAGCTCAATATATTCACAAATGATCTCGAAAGGCAGGGGGAAAGCGAGGTTATGAGCCCATAGCTGCCTGTGGTCGTAAAGTCAGTAAATTTAAGTGTCCACTGGGGAGAGAAAATTCACAAAGGTACAGGCAGGGAGAGGGACGGACCTGACCGTGACTTGGGGTCGAGTTCTTGGAGTTATAATGATCTTGAAATGTCATCTCAGTGAAAAAAGAAAATGTGACATTAGAATTTACTAGGAGTATCCAGAGCAAAAGTGAGGCTGTGATTATGTCATGGATAAAATCCCCGGTGTATTCGAGTCTGGGACGCCCGCCTTGAAACGGCGATGGGAGAACTGGGGTACGGACAGGCAGGAGGGATGGACAGAGGTGTCGGGGGGTTTTCTTTGGGAGAATGGTCAGACTAGGATTTCTCAGCCTGAAAAAAATATGGTGAAGGGTTATGAAAAGCACGTAAAATCATGGATGGACTGGAGTCAGGTAATGTTTACTCTTTCCTGATGCAAAAACTCAGAGAACAGCAAATGACACCAGCGGGGCCATGCTCGAAGCAAAGAAATGATGTGCATTGTGTGAAGAAGGAAGGAATCCTTTGCTCCAAGATTTCCCCGATGCTAAAATCTTGGTTGGATTCAGAAGGGGCTTGCACAGTGTCTTCCATTTCGAATAAGAACTCAATGATAGTCTCAGTGCACGCAGAGAGTTGTGTTCTCAGCTCCCTCCATTCTAGAGGAGCATTTCCTCGTGTTCCCGATACCTGTTGCTGATGGGAGGTCAGTGTATCTTTAACTGGAAAGGACTGAAGGGCTGTGAAATGTCAGGTTATATTCAGGCAGATGCAAAACACAATATTTGATGGTGTTGAAATACGAGATGATTAGTTGGTGAAGAGGGAGGCTGAAAGGCACGGCCCCTTGGCTCTAGCGGCCGGGCGTTGGTGTGAATGAGTGCAGAGAGAAGCCTTTGCCATCAGCTCCACAGCGCTGGTGCAGTTCTAAGTAAAAAGTCTGTTCGGCTCGAATATGAAGAAAGAAAACCACGCTTGCATTTGAGCGAGAGAAATCATTTGGTTGCTTAGACGTTTGTCTCTCTCAGGAGCGCTCTTTCTAAAGGAAAATGGCTTTTTCTGCTCATTTTTCTTCAACAGCTAAAATACTTGAAAAGTTATTAGTTGTTTCCTATAGCAAAAAAACCCACAAACATCACCAGTTTCTCATTTTCTTGTGTTCTGTCTCAAAAAAAAAAACACACCAAAACCCACAGCACCTCCGGAGGTATTTTCATCCCTTCACAAGCAAAACGTTTTCCTTAAATAATTGATTTCGTTTATAGTTGATCTTTTTTTCAGTGCTTGAATTTTGGGTGAGTTTGGGGACCGTTCATGTTTTGATATATTCCCTGTTGTGCCAAAATGTCACAGTGGGAGAAGAGAAAATGGCAACGCACAAGGAGCAGTCCCCTCCTTTAGGTGGGGATGTGATTGACGTCGTAATAATATATGTACGGGTATTCCACATGTGAAGCGGCCACGCTCTGTTTTTCTTTTCAAACACTTTGACATAGTACTTTTGGATAATCTTCTTGTTTATTCTGAAGATGTCTTCAGCCAAACGAGGCACTAAGGTATTTTATTTTCTCCTACAAGTACTGCAAAATTTAAAATATACATCATAGGCATGACCTAGTTTCCAGAGGCACCTACAAGAAGCAAGAGCACAGATTGAAAATCAAGGGGCATTATTCTTCTGAATCATTTAAGCTCTTCTGATAATCTCTCAAGGTGTGTATGTGTGTTAAAAATTAAAATGTATAACTCATTAAAGGCTAGGAAAGAAAGAACCCCCCCTGTTTCTGAGTGTACAAGCAACTTCAGGAATATATTAAGAATGTTTCAAGTACCTTCACTTCCCTCTGCACGGCAGAAGAGTGATCAACCTGCACTAAAGATCCCCTAGTTTGATATATTCGATATATTGATTTATTTTATATATTGATATCTATACACAAGCATCTTGTATTTCTGTTTGGCGGGTGCTTTTGTGAGAAGGGTCTCTCTCATTTCAGCCCTCCTCTGGTTATCGTTATGTGTTGGCGCAGGATTATGGGCTGGTGTGGGTTCCCGGTGCTGGTTAGAGCTGCGTTTGCTACTTTGCAAGCCAAGCACAATGTGATTATTTTTATTATTTTTTTCCTTCCCAGACTCAAGTGCCCTCCTTGTTCTTGTAGCTCATCCTAGGCAGAAGAGGATGTCTCCGAGATGTGTCTTTGAGGGTCAAAGTTATTTGACTTGTCCATCACCTTGGTCTTAGGCAAAGCTGATAAAGGTTGCTGTACCTTCCAAGAAACTCCCTGAAATCCCAAATTTTTGCCTCCTGAGCTATCAGATCCTGTAGGGCCATTACAGTCCCAGGAGAAGCAGGTGGTGGTGTAAGACTTGGGTAACTTCAATGAAAATTGTACTTGCTTTGGAATCTAGAGAAATTTGTTACGATATAATTGGGAAATTCAGAAATTATCAGGAGCCTTTCAAGGCTGCACTTCGGTGGCGAAGAATGAAGATCTTTTGCCTCATCTCTGTGTTACTTAAAAACAGCTTTTCCCTTGCCACTGAGCAGTGAGATGAATTCCTTGTCACAGATCAACTTCTGCCCCCCGTTGTGACTAATCCTTTTTCTGATATCTCCACCTCCGCTCGGGATCCTCGGCAGACTGCCCCCGTGGGATTAGTGTCTCATAGCCAGTGTTTGGATGCCGCCGAGTGGAAAAGTTGCTTCAAATCCAGTTAATTCCTGATTGCTGCCCAAGGCAATCAATATACTTGCAGATCTACAAATAATCCCGGTCAGCGGAGCCGCTCCGTACCGCGGGGCTGCGGCCGTACTCAGCACCACCTCTACGGCTGTCTTTACAGTCTGCTGACATCTGAATAAACTCTCCAGCTTGCAACTCTGGAGCCGTTTTCAAGAATTCAAACCTCTTCTGGCTCCACTTGAGCAGCTGTGGGTCACTCCCACTACCTCTGGTTGGGATGGAGCAATGATTTACAAGAGCAGGTTGCGGCAGGGCTGTCTCTGCTGCGTGTTTGCGTCCAGTCTTCAGCTTTCAGGTGTTGCTGGATGGGCTGGGCATGGCGGAAGGGAGGAGGGGATGCTTTTCCTTTAGAAAGGAGCGCAATACGAGCTGAGCTCACTGCAGCTTGTTTATTCTGAGTAAGACAGCTAGCGCTGCCTTGGGAAGATTTGTGGCTGTGGCTGAACTGAAGCAAATAAAGACAAAGCAGAAAGAAATCCAATATTTACCAATCCCCTTAAAGACTTTCTTGTTATCGAGAGGAAAGTGCATGGTTTGGATAAAAAACTAAAAGCTCCTGAATAGAGGTGTGTGAATAGTTCTGAGTTTTGGCTTAGTTGCCAAAGATGGTGTGGGTAGATTCAGAGTTGGGTTAAACCAAACTTTAATTTGTCTTTCTGGAAAAAGTCACACAATGAAGGAGGCTTCTTCCCCTTCCCACCCAGCACCGTGCAATGAAGATTTTTTTTTCTCCAGTGTCTAAATGGAGAGAGGTGTTCCCTACTCTAAAGGGAGCCTATATAACTCCAATAACTTTTAGATGTTACACTTAGGTGAGATCCATCCTGCACTGGGCACCAGTCTGAGCCTCACTGACGCTTGGTTTCAGTCGTCGAGGTGGCACAGCAGCAACAAGGATGGTGCAGAGCATCCATCCTGCTCTTAGCTAGGGCAGCTTCTCGGACACATGGGGTCACGGCCGTGTTCTTCTCTGCAGCTTCCCACCCCGTGGGGTGGAACAACTTAATGACTTCACGGGGCTGGCGGGTGGATGTGGCTCGGTGAAGATGATGATTGCTCCAGTGGTACCCAGGATGTGTCCACCAAGTGTCCTCTTAGTGGGAGGTATCCCTGCCCATGGCAGGGGGGTTGGAACTCAATCTTTAAGGGCCTTTCCAACCCAAACCATTCTGTGATTCTATGATTATTCTTACTGGTGCAGACCAGCTACAGGGCTGGATCCATGGATGGAGGTTGATAAGGGGTCATGTGCGGTACTGCTGTGCTTCAGTGTCTTTTTTTGCCTTCCTTAGGCCAGCAACAAAGTGGAAGTGGATATGGAGAAAGCAGAGAGCTTGCGTGTGACAAGAGGAGACTTCTTTGCATCTCTGGAGAACGATATCAAACCAGTAAGTAGGCACTAGATAACTTCTCTAATGGAGTCACCCGGTACACTTAATGACACGACATAGCAGCTTCCTTCTGGAATCAGACACACAATGGTGCGCCAGACTGTCCTGGGTGGGAGGGATGGAAGTACGGAGCCTCTTCCTGTCTGCAGTGCAAAGGCTGTTCTGTGCTTTTTGTTGCATGCAGGAATCATAAAAAAAATAGAACAAATAGAGAAGGCAACTTGGAATTTCTTCTCCTCGTTGTATGTGCACTCTCTCTTTTAGGCTACTTCCGTTAATGGACAGTAAAAGGAGGTTTAAGCCTCATTTTTGAGAATTGTCTTTAAATGACATGGATTCAGAACCCGTTGCAATGATTAGAATTTGTTTTGAGGGTATATGAAAATATGTTTCTAAATGTGCAGGGTCCCCAACAGCGTTCAGTCCTTTGAACTGAAGTGTTGTGTGTCACCTGTGGCTCTTCCAGCACTGACTGTCTCACCTAAGCATCTTCCAGAGTTTTGGTCCTGGTAACTTCGGTGATGTTGAGTTGTTTCAGGTTTTTCTGATGTGATTCTTGGTAAAATAGGTGTTCCCTCTCTTAATGTAGGCGTTTGGAACCAACCAGGAAGACTATGCAAGCTACATCATGAACGGGATTATCAAGTGGGGTGATCCAGTGACGAGAGTTTTGGATGATGGGGAGCTGCTTGTTCAACAGACTAAGAACAGCGACCGCACACCTTTGGTTAGCGTTCTTCTAGAAGGTAAATTTAAGGAAAAAAAATTAAAAAACCCAAAGGACTTCTGTAAACTATTCCTATCAGTTGTCCAAGTGGTCACCTGTCCTGTCCTGCAGCTCTGCGTAAAAGAAACACATGGGAGGAAAAAAAGAATTGGTCTCTTTCAGGTTGCCAGGGTGAAATTGCTTTAGATATTAAACCTGGCTTCTCAGCCCGAGATAAGTCCTGTTCTTGGAACAACGGAGACGTTAATAACCTAACTGTGGATGTTTTACAGGCAAACATCTCTAGCTGAGCTAGTTCTCTAAATTCTCTTTGAATTCACCGGAGAGCTCATCAGTGTAATTACCAGGGTTCCTCTGGCCATGTGTTGGAGGTGGGTTGCCCTCTGTCTAGACTGTTACTGACCACGAAGGGTCTAGGAAACTAGTTCCAATATCTACGTTACAGATGCTGGAGTAGAATTTGTTATTTAGAGCTTCCCTCTTTCTTTTCCAGGAGTCCAAAAATGTGCACTACCACTATTGCTTTGAAGTTACCCTTTAATAGATGCCTTGAGTAATTCCATGTGCCTGTGGCCAGCATATCGCTTGTGGGCAATACCTGCGTGCCCTGCACCTTGATTTGTGTTGGGTTATAGATTAAGATGTATCTTTGATCTCTTTTTGAATTATTCTGATGGGAATTCAGGCAAATAACAAATTCTCTTTGTCAATATTTACCTGCCATTTATGCTGGTGACTTGTTTGCCACGGTACCTGCAGAAATCGTATTTAGAAGGGACATAAGCATGGTTCAGGAAGGCTCCCCGAAATACCGACACATTGTGCTGCCGTCGCCAGCGCTACAAGATGTGTAACATTCTCTTTCGTGTTGGTTTCGCGGCAAATCAGCCTGTGTGCTCTCCCATAGTTGCATTAAGTTCCTCTGAAGGACTGGATTGCACCAGAAGTTGCTGTGTTCCTTCTGCAAGTGGAAGAACAGGTCATTTCAAAATGCAGATATCTGAGTGCGATTATAAACATGCTGAAGGTGTCAGCCATGCTGCACCTTGCCAGAGCTGGTTTCTCTCTTCTTTTTTCATTGTTTGTCCCTCGTTTTAGGTCCCCCCCACAGTGGGAAGACTGCGTTAGCAGCAAAAATAGCAGAAGAATCCAACTTCCCCTTTATCAAGATCTGTTCTCCCGATAAGATGATTGGATTTTCTGAAACGGCCAAGTGCCAGGCTATGAAGAAGGTATATCTGCATCCCACTCTTCTGCTTGATTACAACCCAGCTCTGTGTTCTCTAGTGCACGGAGAAGTGACTTACCTTTGTGATTGTGTTTTCTGCTCTCTGTAGGTCCTAAATTCCTCTGCATGGTTTTATTTATAAAGTTGAATTAATGTTTTTCTGGCACTGACAGTAAGTGGCTCAGGGAAGATTTCGAGTCCCTGTCCCTGTTGGGTCTGATGTGTGACTGTGACCAACAGCAGAACAAGTCTGGAGCTCTGGCTGCAGGGTGAAGGCAGGAAGGGCTGAGGGTTGCGCTTGGAAAGAACAGATCCTGCCTGGAGGAGGCTAGGAAAGGTTTTGAGGTGGTAAGGTTTAGTTAAACGAGAGTTCTAACAACTTGGAGAGCAGGGGGACTGCAGACATGTTGAACATCTTAAATCATTTTGACTATCAGGTGGAAGGAAGAAGGTTTCGGTTACTGAAACAAGCCAGTGCTGCGGCTTCTGGCGGAGTGGGGCTGGTGTGGTTTGACCTGGGCTGGCAGCAAAACAGCACCGCTCGCTCACCCTCCTCCCTCCTGGGGATGGGGTGAAGGGAAAAGAGGCTCATGGGCTGAAATGTGAACAATTCAATAACTAAACTACAATAGCATTGGAAATAATGATGATAATAACAGCGATATATACAAATATACAAATGAGTGACACACAGTGACACTGCTCACCACCCCATGGCCAAGGCTCAGCCCGTTCCCAGCCAACAATGCCGGAGCAGGGAGAGTCCTGAAACTGCAATCCCAGAACGGAGATAAGAGCCCGAGTGTCCAAGAGACCAAGACGACCCTGAGAGAGGGGTGACCCGGAGGGAGACAACCCGGAGCAAGAGAGAGAACTTCCAGCCAGAGCCTCACCTCTCTCCTGGCCATGCCAGGCATGGGATGGAATATTGCCCCAGCTACAAAAAGCAGAGGAATGATGCTCTGTTTTGTCCTTTGCTTACAATTAAACGCCAGGCAGTTGGCTTTTTTGCAAAGTGTATGGGGTAAATGAACAGAACTGAGCTCTGAATTTGTCGAGATGGCAGCGTTTGATTAAATGCAGCTATAGTCTAGTCTCTTGATACTTATCCTTTTTTTCTCTTTTTATTTTTATTCCTCTAAATGCTGCTGTGCTTAGCTAAAAACATGTCAACAGGTCCTATCATGACTATAGTTTTGCTGCTGAGATTTAACAATCAGTAATTTCACTTTTTTTAATAGATCTTCGATGACGCGTACAAGTCCCAGCTCAGCTGTGTTGTCGTGGATGACATTGAGAGACTTCTAGGTGAGTTAGGAGGAGAGAGACTTATGTTGTCTGCTGTGCAGAAACATTGAAATATTTGCAATACTGAATTATTGCAAACTGGAGGTGATCTGGAACCATTTACTTCGGGAGCGTTGCCCTGTTTTTGATACAGTGAAGTGGCTTACACGTGCATCTGCTCAGTGGGCATTAAGATGCATTTCCCATTTCAGATTATGTCCCAATTGGACCCCGGTTCTCTAATCTGGTGTTGCAAGCGCTCCTTGTACTGCTCAAGAAGGCCCCCCCTCAGGTAAGCAAGTAATCAAGGAGTGAGATACTCAATTCCTGGAATAATTTTGACAGAGGAGGGCTTTGTGTCTCGCTGAGAGCTGCTGTGCTGCCGGTGGCATTAGTGCCGTTGTCTCTGATTCACTCAAGTTAATCCGAGCCTGCCGCTGTTCCTTCAGTGACACATTGCTGGGATAACCACAGAGGATTCAACTTGAATTATCTAATTACTTCAGGCTGAATCTTCTGCAGTTAGCCGCGGAAATACCGACTGAGGAAACAGGTTTAACCTTCCCCGTGTACGGCTGAAGCACGCGAGCTGTCTGCTTTCTGATTCACTACGGAGCTGTTTCCCAAGTCAATCCCTGGCTCAACCTGGTTTAGAAATCGATTTCTGAGTCATGCATGATTGTGGCTGTCAGGGCTTTAATTTGGTCTTAATTCAAAGTTATCAGGTGTTAATTAAAATTGGGTGAGGAAAGCTGAAGATGTTGCATCTCGTGCTGATCCTGTCTCTCTGCGCTCTCTGGCTTGCTGAGGTTGAAGAGCATCACAAGTGCTAACGTTCCTGAAGCTCCCACCGAATGAGACAGACAGGGACGCTTCTTTTTGTTTGCTGTTTTTCCTGTCGCTCGCTGGAATTCTGCTGTGTGTATGAGAGTATCTGCATGAATAAATAACAGACTAACAGGAAAACCTTGAACGCTCACGTCAGGAAAAAAGCAGAGACGCGCAGCCTGGATGAACTCGATTTCTGTCGTTTTTAATATCCTGGAAGCAGTAACGTGTGCGGGGGTATTGTTTTCATTAGAGACTTTGGTGAAAAGACCTTTCAAGTCTAGAACTTTGAACTAAATTGTAATGCCATGGGCCCTGAAGTTCCCCTTGTGACTGTCAACCTGGGAGAACAAAGATTTTTCCCAGTGAGCTTTCTACACCATGTGAAGTCTCTAGCATAAAACTCGGATTCTGGTGTCAAATCTGTCGGAGCAGAAGGGCTGCCTGCGTGCGACAGCACGACCGTTTCAATTGGCAGAGTCTCCTGTAATCACTGACCTAGTGCTGGGAATTTCCGCAGTGCCGGGAACGATTGTTCCCGTAAATCCATAGGGGCAAACAGAACTTGATTTGGTTCCGTTGTTGCAGGAACTTAAAATATTCAATTGTCTGTGGTATCATTCTATCCTCCGACTGTATTTTGCTGCTTAAATGCACTTTTGTTGGCACCCGGGTCTTCCTGAAAGCAAGATGCAGGGCTTGAAGCTCTCAGATATTTGCCAAGTTTCTGCATGTTGCTGGAGATTTGTACTTTGCAATGTCTGAAATGCCCTTGGGGCTGCCATACTTGGGGTTGACAGCCAATATTACGGTGACTTAAGCCATAAATTGTTGGAGGGTAGAGGGAGAGTTTTCGGAGGAAATGTCACTGATTGATTGATGATGTGGGGTTGGTTTTCTTTTCTTTTTCTTTTTTTTTTTTTTCCCCCCCCTAAGTGTCCACTGTCGGCTACTGTGGAAGTCAGGACGTTGGGTCAGACGGACCCTGTGGGCTGAGTTTGGCCATTCTGGTGATAAAGGTTCTTCCAAAGCTTGTTTGGTTTTTCCGAGTTCCCTGTAATGGGGAAGATATTTTTCATTAAAAGACCCAACAGGGCATAAGAGGTAGAGTCATGCAGGAAAAGGCCTTTTCTGCTGCGGATGTGTACTGTGAAAAAGATTGAATTTGGGCTTGGAGACTCTCGGGGTTTTTAAGCTCAAATGGGAAAGCCACGAGGGAGATAACAGCGCCGGTGAATCAGCACCCTTCCAAATTCCCTCTGAGACGACTCGTTCCCTCGGGGAGCAATTTATTTGGAAGTAGTGGCTGGTTTCGGAGGTTTTGTTGTAATTTGGGATGTGGATAACGTGCTTTACATGAGTAGCATCACCAACCTGCTCCATGAGGTCAAACCAACTGGAATTTCAGTGGGATCGGGATCATGGTTTGGGTTCATTCCTCCTAAAAACGGAGTGTCCTGGGATGTGCCAGGCGTGCCCCTGTGCTGAGACAAATCGTGGGTGAGATGCTGGGGGGGCTGTACCTGTGCCTGTGCTCCAGTGCCATCAGATGGCAATCAGAAATACAGGGTTGATTTGAAAAGTTTAGAAATGGGACCAATGGAGCAGTTGAAACGGCAAGTGAGGAGCAAGGGGGACGCGGAGGGTGCGTTCGGGCAGCGGGTGGGACGCGGAGGGTGCGTTCTGGCAGCACAGCTCCGCTGCCCCCATCTTTACATCCCGGATTATGTATTCACCCGGTGTTGTCACATCACTTGCAGAGGGTATACGTAACATGCAAGCAGCTTCCTACAATTACTGTAGGCTGCGTGTGTACGAAGAGCATTTCTGGGATGAAATCTTATTAATTATGCATCGAGAGATGTGTCGCTGTCGAGCTGGTGTATGAAAGCTGCCTCCCAGCCTCCCTCTGCCTCTTGAGGCTGTATGATTTGAACGGGGTGTGGGAACGGCAAATACTTGAAGCTTTTGGTTTTCTGGGCTTTCTGGCTTGTTTGTAGTTTGCAGAAGTTTTGGGAGTAAATATGTTAGGCTTTAAAGAAACTGGAAACATCTCTGTGTTTGCTTTAAATTCCTGGTCACAGCTCGTGCTCGCCAGTTCCACTCGGCAACGCTTCCATCGTGTCTGTTACTGCTAGGTCAAGAAGACTGAAAAACGTTGCATTTTGTTTAGCATCTTTTTTTTTAAACCAATTGAAAAGCTTTTTCTAAAATGGATTGAAGAGAAGAAAATAAACCATGTTCTCTTGGGTCTTGATTTCAATCAAGTTTCCCCGTGTTGTGCAGGAGAAGAGGCTGGGGGGGAGGATAGAAAGCCTGAAAAGGGCTGTCGCAGCAGGGAGCCGAGCGGGAGAAAAGGACTTCTCTGAGAACTAAGCAGCAGCAACTCCGAAAGCCGAAGCTGCTTCATCTACATGCAGAGTCACACAAGGCATGGAGACACTCACCAGCCCCGCAGAGGTTTCACATGTGCTTCCCCGCTGGTTCCTGTGAAAAGCTAACAATCGGCTCAAAGGGTGAAAGACCACGGCGGCATCCCTGGACGTACAGTCTGTGCGGCGTTAGGAGATGTCTGCCTTAGCGAGGTGCTCTCGGCCACTCTTGGGGATGCCCTTCCCCTGCTCCCGGAGGCCCCCGGCCCCTTTCCTCTCCGGGATACTGGGGGCTTTTACCGATTTATGAAAGTTGACGGGGGAAAGGGGGGAATAATCTCCTTGTTTGGTGTAATCCCAGATGCATTCCTGATCCCACGTCACTTGGTGTGAACTGGAAGCAGCTCCAATCAGCAGTGACGGTACGTTTGTACTTGTAAACCCGGGGGATTGTGTTTTCTCCCGTTACATGTGAAGAGTTGTTGATAACCCAGAACACACACATAAAATATAGAAGGGTGCAAAGCCGAGTGCGTGACCAACGGTGGCACTTCAGCATCCACCGATACTTGGTTATAGGATAGTCAGAGCTTCCCTCGACTCCCTGTGCCTCGGGCTGGGTAGATTTGCTGAAATTCCCTAATTTGTGACTCCCTTGACATATTGAGACTCCATTTTCTTGTAGCAGAGCCTGTTTGATGGTGTTATGTTCTTGTTTGTCCTTGGTAGTCGACACAATAATGTGGTGCCCATTAGGAAGAGAGCTGTGTTGGAAGAATCCATCTTGTCATACTTGAAAATGTTGTGATTTCAACCCACTTCCTCTCGGTCTTTGGATCCCGTGGTTCTCTGCGTGATTACATCCTTCATTCAGATACAATCCCTGTAGCAGAGAGGTGAAATCTGGGGTTATCCCACTGCTGGGGGGCAGTGGGGCAAGACCTGCACCTCTACTGGGAGTCCCCTATCAGCATAGAGGGATCTTGGGCTCCAGACGCTGTCTTGGCCTGAAAATGGGGCAGGATGAACCCAGACGGAAGCAATGTGCGTGTACCTAGTCTCTGTTGATGGGAGAGCTGTGAGTAGAACTGCCCTGGTCACGACTCTGACGCCAAATGATCTTCAGCTGTTGAAAAGCCGCGTTCCTCCTTGCTGGGTAGTTACGCTCGTGTTGAGCCGGTTTTTGGAAGTTCAGCTTGAATCCCCATCTTCCATGGGCTGAACACCGGTGCCTTTGCAATGGCTGCTGGAGAAATTAACGGTGAAAATGGTGAATATTTCTGCAATCGGGGCCGCGTTAGCAATCCATCTCACTGAATAACTCCAGTGACATCCCGTGGTGCGCTGTCGCTGCAGAGCGGTTGGACGGGGACAGCTTTTTCCATTGGGTTTGGTGGCTTTTCATGCCCTTGTGGTAGTGCCCGGGGTGAAATTTTTCTGACTTGTAGGTTTTCCCGTCGTTTGCTGAGCAAGTTACCTGCAACTTTGAGAAGTACAAGGGACTCCTGACACTTCATTTTCTTTTGGTAATTGATACGGCAGAGATGAGGCATGTTTTACGCCACCTGGCTTTCCATTGGGCAGGTGGAAAGCACATTGCTTCTTTTTGCAGAAAGCAGGGGGAAAAAAATCGGAATGTTTTGGGTGGAGCTGTTAAAAAATGTTAAGCGGTGTTCTGCAGGGTAGCCATCTGCTCCGAGGAGTTTTCAACCATTCAGTCATCCGTGGTTGGGGGTCCTGAGCATGGATCCTAACAGAGAGATCTAAACATTGCTGCTGGATCTGACCTCTAGTCCTGTTGCTTTTGAACCTCGTGAAGCTTTTGCCAGTCTTGGCGTCGTGCTTGCTTGAGTTCAGCTGGACTAGTGAAAGCCAAGATCCTTTTGTTCCGTTTAACAACTGATGCTTGATAATTTCATGAAGTGCTCCCTAGTTTTTATTTTGGGAAACAGCAGTTCGCCCCTTCATCTCCTCTACACCATCTCTGATTTTACAGACCTTCCTGTTTAACCCCCATCGGTTTACCGGGAGAGAAGTTATTCCGTGTTCCTGACCATCCTCGTGGCTTTCCCCTGATTCCTCCAATTCACTGATGGGTAG